CCCATTGATCTCAAACTCATAGCTCAGAGAAACCGCTAAGCTCTGAGAAACGGTTGAAGGCAACGGGCAACGACGGTTGAAGGCAAAGGTTAATGACGGTTGAGCGCAACTCCACTATCTAAACCGTGAAAAGGTATTTATTTTGAGTGGAAGGAGCAAAGGCGTGGATTCTGAAACAGTGAAAAGATGAAGCAGTGGAAGGGGAAGGAGAGAAGTCGTATTCGTTGGAAGTGATAGGTTCCATTTGTGGAGCAAAGCCGCACAAAGACCCAACACAGACACCTTGCGATTGTTCAATAACCAGCATTTGGTGAGTAATTTATGGAATTTGAGTTTAGGGTTAGAGTAACCGTTTTCCCCAATTTGTACCATGAATGTTGTTAGATTTGGCATCTCTTCTTTGTGCTTCACTTGCATGTTAATTTTTGCTTGGGTATATGTTAAAAAACGAATGAATATAAAGTCAATAACATGTCAATAACATGTCAATAATGATATGAATAAGGTAATGGTGTTGAATTGGAGGAGGCCCTCAAAACCTTCCACATTTGAAGCAGTGCAGAGTGCAGATTATCTCTCTGGAGCTAGAATATATATAATTTTTGAAATAAATATTATTTCCGTTGTTACTAAATTTGCCTGTTAAAAATGAGAACAGATAATAATAAACTCATGAATAAAAGTGCAAAGCATTTGAAAAAAGGTTGATCTATGACGATTATGGCTGACTGAAGAAAAAGCTAGAAAGAAAGAAGGATGTGGCAATGGCTTAGCGAGCAGATAGCAGAGCAGATGCTTTGCTTTGCTTCCTTCCACCGTCTTTCTCATTTATTTATTTATTTTGTGTTGTGTATGAAATGACAATAATTGCCATGTGTGTGAAGTGCAGAACTTGCCTAGATTGCACTCACACTCACTCATGCATCAACCATTGATTGGAGTTTGGATCCATAAATAAAACACATGCTAGTGCTTGTAATTCACAGAATCATTGCATTAACAGGTATTTGCACAAAATATGTCATATTGCTTTGATGATGTTAAAGCCTGTGATCAGTAATCCCTATGCGCATGTACTTTGTAAAATTTGTAATGTGCTGGTTGACTAGTTGTGTAAATACCAATGTGATTGTGCAAATACGTGGTAGTATATGTGTTCACGTTATTTCATCTTGTATTTCAGGAAATGGGATCCAACGTGGAGCTGGTATGGCCAGAGTCAGAGGCATATTCCTCACGGGTGAACAACTGCTCACATGCAAATTCAGCCCTAGCTGTAATTCGAGCGAAGTTGAGTGCCGAACAATTAGAACAATTCAAGACATCATGCTTTGGCCATCTTCTGAATATA